ATGTGCTTCAAATGTGTTTGGATAAAAATGACATGATGGTCAACACAGAAAACAAATCTTCCTTAACGTTTTTTTCTTTTTAGTATTTATCAACTGCATGTATTGTAATTTGTCACGAGTATAGATATACATTCATTTTATTAGCATTATCGTGTTTACTACAGTCTATTTATTTTAACATCTATGTATGTATGAATGTATATATTTGCATTTGCACTGTTTATTGTTATTATTATTATTATATATTTATTCCTCATTTTCTATAACTCATATGGCTATTTTCTATACATTCCCATTCTTATATTCTACCCTTGCACTATTCCCTTTTTATATGTGTATTTTTTTTTTATTTTCTTGGCCTTTGTGGTGAGCTACAGCGGCGCCCCTTATACGTGTATTTTTATACTTGCACTCTTCCTTGTATGTACATTGTTCTTCTAGCATGTGTGTATTTCTGTGCTGCTGACAACACTGTGAATTTCTCCAATGTCAGATAAACAAAGGCATATCTTATCCTATTATCTACACTGATGCTTGACATTTCTTTATACGTTACCTATCTTGTTCCTCGTCTTTTGTTGTTTCTCTAAGGTACAGTATAATAAAGTAGTTGTTCATGTAATTACACTATGATATATTAGGCAAAACATGCCATCTACTCCTAATATCTCTCCTGCAGACAAAATGACTTTTAGAAAGCTGGTGTGCGGCAAACTTCTACCAACGAAAAAAAAAAAACGTATATAGAAATTTGTAATTGGCAAATCTGAAGGGTTGGACAAAGACTCAATGCGAACAGAGAGGTAGAGAATGATAGGAAAGTTACTGAGGCTGTTCTGTTATGCTCCATTGACTTTGACATTTTAGAGCTACAGGTTGCCGACTTTCTTGCTCTCTCCATCTTCTTTCTCTTCCACACACACATAAAGAGGACGATGACACACTGGCTCTGTGCTCTCTGGCTTCCTCTCGCCCAGAGTGCTGCCAGCCAAAGCCCCGTTTTCTTTTTTTTTTTTTTGCTCTGAGGATTAAACTGTGGATTAACACATCACACACATGCACACATCTACACACATATCGGCACATAAATACGCAGTCTTATTTTACAGTAGCTTTGTACTGCAGCTCTGCACCGAGTGAAAGTTCACTCAAACAGTTTAAAAACATAAAAACTGTGTGAAGTTTCCCACAGATTCATTCATCTGAAAATGTTGCAGATATCAAGTGTCTTTAAGTATATGAGGATCTCTGCACACTCTAGTTGGATTTTAAGACAATTATCCCACAAACCGAAGCTGCACTGAGTACAGTGAACACTTTGTGGATAGTTTTTATTTGTGTCGAGGCTTTAATTTAAGGATTTAATACTCACTAAATCACCGGGCCCAGGGAAGTTCTTCGGGCGTTTTCAGACCTGCATAATCAGTCTAGTGACCGTAGAGCGATTTGAATCAGTCAACTGACCTGAATACAACATTAGCGCTTAATTGTGAAATAAAACAAACACACAGAAAGCCTGTGGAGGAAGTGAGAAGTGATCCCATCTCAAGCTAGCCTGACTGCAAAGCTTCGTCTTTAGGTTAAAGGCTCCAGCGGAAAACAAATTTTCCAAATCAAGGTTCGAAAACCATTCGGCTAAACAATTCCACTAGTAAAAATTACAGGCTATTCTGTTTAGGTTGCCACTTTTAATTGTATATACTGAGAAAAAGTGATAATTAGGGTCAGATCATGGAGAGATCTGTCTCTATTTTGAGTGCTGCTAAATAACAGTGTTGTGTCGGGGAGGTGGGCCACCTGGCATCAAGATCCAGGTGGCCAACCATCGCTGCTTTCCAATCTCCTGGGAGAAATAATATAAAACGTATACAGACTCATCTTGGACTTCTCTCATCACGCCTTGGGTAAAAGAATTCGGATGACTTTACACTCTTACCTGGAAAAAAACACAACAAAACAAATCCTCCCTCATCCAGAAAGCACAGCGAACAACAGTCGGTTTATACTGTAAGCCAGTACAAACTTGTTGAATAATGCAAGAAGCAAGAACAGGAGAACACTGGATGAACCAAAAGAAACACAACCAGGGTTTTCCGTCGGCGTGCTGGAAACCCGGTGGCACACACAAAAATGTTTTTGAACTACAGCGGGGCACCTCGGATGGCAACAGATGAGATGGGTGAACAGCTCAGCAGCCACAGCGAACATTCAGAGCTCTACAGAGTCAACAGTCCAGCCTCGGCTTGAGCCAGCGAGCACCCTCAGTCCTCAATACAGCCCGTCACCTGCCCTTGTTAAGTTGTTAGAGAAACGACAGGACCCAGCTTCATGCTGCCATCAGTCTATCACTGGGCCAAGACGGCTTTCCCGTCAAAAAAAAGATTGGTACTGGTCCTCTCTGTTTGCCTGTTATGCTGCAAAATCTGGCTCACTGGCAAATCCCGACATGACTCAAAAAGCTGATGAAAACATTCTCTGACCATCAAAATACTCGACTAGTTGCAGCCCTACCAGTGAATTAACCAGAAGTTTATGGCATGACTGACAGCCTGATCCACTCTCTGAAACCTGTGAGAGCAGCACATAATTGACCATGAAGGTGGTTCCATAAAGGAATGGTTTTATCCCCTCTGATAAAACACTCGTGGATGCCCTTCGTCCCCCCTCCACACACAAAACATCCCAATGAGCAGCGGATTAAAGGTATTACTGTACAGCGTTCCCCAGAGGTAAGCTCACCCAGACTTCAGTATCAGAACAGATCAGAAATGTGGTGGCGTAGCTTTAAATCTCACCATAACGCTGTTCTCATATAGCTGCTGATAACAACACATAGTCACTTTAGCGCTAACTACAGTGACGATGGTGTTAACAGGCAGCAAACAGCACTGGAACACAGGCTGTAAAAATGTAGTCAGAGGCTGATCCAGCCTTTATAGAAAAGAGAGAGCTTGTTTTGTTTCTGGTTCATTTTTCATCTAGAATTTACTGAAGTTTCCGTCACTGCCTTTTCAATTTGCTTGCTTATGAACGAACAGGAGTAAAATTGGATGCAATATCTGCACAGCATAAGCAACAAATGCACAGTGATAGCAACCGTTTCACTCATAATTTTACCATTTACTGTTGCACAACCCTCTGACTGATACTTTCCTACCCCGCTGATCTTCCTTTAAACCAGTGGTTTTCAAACTGGGGGTCCCCCATGGGGGTCCCAAGATCATTTCAAGGGGTCACATTGTCAAAACAAACAAACAAACAAAAAAATTTATCAAATAAATTTGTATTAGGGCTGTCAGAATTCAGTGTATACTTCTTCCTACTCCTTTTTTGAACTTGTTAATATTAAGATATTATTATTCTTTTTTGCTCTTTTTTAATACTCTTTTTAAAATTATTTTTCTTTTGTTTTTATATTCCTTTTCCCTTTGATTTGTTTGAAATAAATTCAACTCATTCATTCAAAAAAAAAGAAAAATGAACGTGTTAATGTAAAGAGATTAATCTGTGGAATAAAGAAATAAATTTTTAACGCATTAATGCATGAACAACAAAGTTATCACTCATGATATATTAAAAATTAAAATTGGGGGGTCACAAACACAAACTTGTGTTATCTTGGGGGTCGTGGCTCAAAATGTTTGAGAGCTTTGAACGATGTGCTACGTCGTGCTTGCCAGGTTAGATGCCGTTTTACCTTTAGATTTTAAAAAAACTACAAGATCTAAGTTGTAGGCAACATAATTGTATTAACTGTTAATATTGTAAAATTAAAATGTGTTGTCTGCCATCAGGAACGACAACACAGTTGCTGTTTTGTCCTCACCTACACATACCTGCGTCTTTCAGTTCGAGAGCTCTCGTCATTTTAACGGCGAGTCAAGGTCTGGTCTCTAACGTGAATTACACCCGTGTGTTTTGCAGACTGAAGGGGAAACAATTAGCTACCTTGTCTCGGCTGTGGCTCATTACAAGCCTACAGTGGGAAGTGAAAATGAGGAAACGGGGTATTGTTAAATTCAGGTTAATTAAAACAGACAAATAAAACATTTAGCACATTACGCAGTTTACTCGTGAGGCTGTCAGTGGTTCAAAAATGAAGGAAGAAGAAGAAGTGCCTCTCAAGTGCTATTTATTAGTCTGCAGTGTACATACTCATGAATATGTGTATGTTGGTGGGTGGGTGGGTGTCAGAGCCTACTGGGAATAATATCTCCTCACTTTGGATTGCAAATGAGTTTGTGAATGTGTGCATGTATGTGTGAGGTCTTCTTTTTCGTCAGGATGAGTTTGAGTGAAGACATTTTGGCCAGTCTTACTTTTCACCTTCAGAGACATCTTTGGGGGTTAAGAACTGGTTTAATGGTTAGAATCAGGTTTAAATTAAGGTTCCAGTCAGGGTTACACGTGTGTGTGTCTCACCTGATGCTTGCTTCCGTCTTGGAGGCAGCTTGGTGGAACTCCTCTTTGCTCTGCTGGTATCTTTCCCCATTCTGCAACATTAACAGAAACAACAACAACAGGACAGTTAGCATCAGTGAAGTGAAATGTTTAGGTCCTGGTTGTGTGTTTTTCTTTTTTGTGATGTTATATGTTTGCCTTCGATGCCCTTATTAGAATGTGACAACCTGACATGTCATCATACATTTGCTTTTGGTGATGTCGTCTTGCAGCTGAGTCAAAAAAAAAAAAAGAAGAAAACACCACATAAACAGGTGATCAAGACAACTTCCTGCTCACTGCATTTCCTTGAATCCTCAGCAATACCCCTGCCAAGTTTAAAGTAGATTGGATGAACAGTTGCAGCACAGACACACAAACAGACACAGAATCCTTAATTTTTTTTATTTCGATGCATTTAGAAGCATGTTGGACAACAGGCAAACATTTTTGGAGGATCAGATTTTGAGCAGCAGCTTCATGCAGAACAACTTTTTGTCTAATACGACACCTGAGATGCAACAAGTGTAAATAAAAAAGATGGGTTACTGTCTGACAACCACGAAGTCTGTGTTTTGTTTTTTTTTTTGATAATGCAGAGATCTTTTGAGTACATGTACAAGGACATGTTTGACAAATATAATGGATTACAAAAGGATGTAATCACTGATTGCTATTGATTTATTTTGGGAACAATAACATTTCGATGCACAGAACTGGACTTTTTATACAAATGTTTTAATGCACAAGCTTCTACTTCCTCATTTCATTCATATTTTTTTACCAGAATATCTTTAATAGAGATTTTTTTTCTGCACTTTCAACATACATTCAACACACTAACCATTAAATCCATCACAGACTTTAACCCCCTTTACTTTCTCCTATCACATCAAACACCCCTTGTATCCGTAACTAATATTTAATTGTTTTTTACTTTAGACTGTCCGCATGTGAGATCAAATAATGTCTTTCCTCTCCTTCATTTTGTCATCTCAGTGTATCTGCAGTAGCTTCTGTTTTCCTGCTGTCTTTCTCATGTCCAACTCAGATTTTCACACAATTCCTTTAACATAAAACTTAAAAAAAAACACATCGGAAAAGTTGTGGGGTTGGTTTCATCCTGAGGAATGTTTTGCAATTCCAGCCTCTTTCAGGGGGAACTAAAGCTCAGCAGTGATGAGTTGCATTACTCATACATTTAAGAAATCGTGATTTCTGACTTTGCAGCTTGCCCGGTGAGCACCAAATCCCAAGCAAGCAGGCAGTGGTATTATGATAAAACAAGCAGCTAATCCACAACAACTGCAGCCTCTCCTCTGCTGATCCTCCTAGCTTAGGCCTTCCAGCACCCGGTATCCCCCCCAAATATTTAACCAGCAAACTATACCAGCTTGGGAGGGAAGCATGCGAGGGAAGAAAAAGAGAGAAAAGGCCAGAAGGGAAGAAAAAAAAAAAAAGAAGACTAAAGACGGAGAAGCAGCAGAAGGAGGCGCCAAGGTGAGAGACAAGATAATAAGGGGAGGAGGGGGGACCATTTGCCCTGACTACTTGAAGTTGTTTTTGTCTTTGTGTGTGGGTTTGTGAAACCAACCACTTCTTTTATGAAAACCTCCCATAAGACACAATTTATTATTATGGAAAGAGGGGTGTGTTATACATTCAAATACGCCCGGGGTGGAGAGGGGGCTTTAAATGACGTCCATGCACTTGAACTCAACTGGCAAATCTCTTCCTCACACGTCCAGGTCACGCCATGACTTCTAAACTGTGTGATAGTCTTACAGCTGCAGTAGCTGTGCTGTTAATAATCAAACTGGCCCTTAGATGTGATGCTGGAAGTACTTATGAAGAAATGAAAAGCACCGACACTCAAGGTCCTTGTTTAATTGACACAAAGAGTCAGGTATCGAGTGTGCATCATGTGGGCGTCTCCATGTACACCTCAGCGCTGTTTCAAATGTCAAGAACGAAACATGAACTGCTGATGTTTCATCAAATGTTTGGATTATTGCGGCCTTTCTCTGATAAATAGGCAGAACACCTATGTTAAGCGAGTAAAGGTTTGAGTGGTTATTTTGTAGCAGCCTGGTGGCATTTGATTATGATTTAACCAACATAAACACAGTGGACAATTGTACATATTGGCACTGCGCTCTCGTTCGGTATCTCGAATCAGAGGCTGCAGATTTATCAACATATCCGTCCTGCTGCTTCAGTTGGCTGTGGGGATTTGATGAACTGGATGAGAAGCTTTCCATACAGTATAAAGTAGCTACAGACAGCAAACACCGGAAGAATCGCCTTAATGGCATTCCTCCTTTAAGCGCATTAAGTAGATTTCTTAATACTGAACACGTCTACTGATTGGAGGCTGTTTACATTGTTTATTTACACTTACATGAAAATGTAAGTACATTCCATGGGAGTTGTTGACTTTTTCAACATATTTGAAGAGGCATTTGAAACAGTGTTTATGGGAAAAAAGACATTATACACACAAATATGAGTATTACACTGATATTTGTAGTCATTTTCATAATTTAAGTTAAAGCAAACAAACAAAAACGGATCAACAAATGCAGCCTAAGAGCAGATCACTTGATGCAAAAGGATCCGCAGGTGACTTTTACAACTGCTGATGTGTCGACAATCAAAAAGAGATTTGCACAACTTTGCCAGAAAAAATCCCTTACTGCAGAGCAAGCAGTAGCAGAAAATGCAAGAAAACCCTCAAATATCTTCAGATTGAAGGAATGTTTGGTGGAGGAAGGGTCAAATAGTTTCAGCAAGCCAATGTCATAGACTAGTGGACAACTATGCAAAACATTTACAAGAAGTGACAGCGCCTGTAATCACCACCCTTGGAACTTTTCTCCATTTTGTGCTTGTTGTCATCATTAAGGCCGTGTCCAAACGTAGCAGGGTTTTTATAAAACTGAATATCCTCCCCCATACACACCACCTTGTTTTTAGAAGAAAAAAAAAATCATCCACACCTAACCGCATAAGTGTGTTGTTAAGCACATTCATAAGCAGTCAAACCTTTAGGTGGCAGTAATTGCCCAAATCCTACCCAATCAGAGTAAGCTTCCGTCTCTCGACATCGTAAAATAACCGTCCTTAACGTCGTCCTTCGCCTGTGTTGCAAAGATGTTCATTTTGTCCTCAAAGTACAAGTAGACTGAAGAATTTCTTTGTGATAGGACAATGGTATGAAGTTGTTAGCTGTACCTTGACATGTTTCGGCGTTCCATCTGTCGCCTTCTTCGTGTGTGACGTGTCTTTATCAGCTGTTTTTCCTTGGTGTGGCCAATCTGACAGATCCAGTGGGTGTGACAGCTAACAACTTCATACCATTGTCCTATCACAAAGAAATTCTTAAGTCTTCACCTGTGTTCATGTACGTGGAGCAGTATCTGGGCCTGGACCAGAGACGACGCCAACACAGTTCTGAGGGCGTCCACGCTGTTTCCAAATGTAAACACAGGTCGCACATGTGACGTAAGAACATATTTTGTCGCACGTCGTGACGTTTCGAAACCTAAAACCCCGGTTATTGGCGTCCACATACAGATGCATCAACCGAGTATTCGCAAATCTTCCCTTTGGTCGGAGATCTGTGAAAGAATCTTGTTTACTGCCGTAAATCTGTGTTTTGGTGTGGATGACAGGCCAAATTGGACAAAAATATCTTCGGTTTGTGTATACCATGCTACGTGTGGACAAGGCCTAAGTCATGGGGAATTTAATTTGAATGTTTGGACAAGAACAAAACAAAAGATTATTTATTTCAAAGTGAAAGCAGACTTCTACAAAGTCATGTTAAATAACTGAAAGTGTAAATAAAGTGGCTGCAAAAGTATTCACCTCCTTCAAAGTTTCTCACCCGAATTCAACACAGGTGGAGCCGGTTGGTGCTTCAAGCCACACAGTTAGTGATATGGAGATAATCTGAGTGCAGTGAATGTGTCTCTGTAATTGTATTATGAAGACACCTGTACCTGGAAGGTCCAGTCGCTGGAGAATCAGTATTCCTGGCTATAACTACGACATGAAGACAGAAGACCACTCCAAAAAAAAACTCAGTAAAAATGTTATTGAAAAGCATAATTCAAGGGATGGACGCAAGAAAATTTGCAAGTTAATGGCTATCCCTTAGAGGGCAGGTAAATCCATCATTCAGAAATGGAAGGAATACGGCACATGCATAAATCTGCAGAGAGCAGTGAGTGCAAAGAGAGAGCAGTGTGGGCTGCAACTGAGACACCTATGATGATTCCAAAGGAGGTACAAGCTTCAGCAGCTGAGAAAGGAGAGACTGAGCAAACAACAGTTGTTACCCGGTTTCTTCACCAGTCAAAGCTTTTTGTGAGAGTGGCAAAGAGAAAGCCACTGTTGATAAAGGCTCATAAAAACTCTGGATTATCATTCGCAAGAAGGCCTGTGGGAGACTCTGAAGTCAACTAAAAAAGAAGGTTCTCTGGCTTGATGAGACCAAAGTTAAGCTTTTTGGCCATCACACTGGACTCCAGACATCACCACAAACATACCATCCCCACTGTAAAGCACGGTGGTGGCAGCATCATGATTTGGAACAGTTCCTTGGCAGCAGGCCCTGTAGGGCTTGTGAAGGCAGAGGGTAAAATAAATGCAGCAAACTGTCGGCAAACACTGGAGGACAATCTGATGCAGTCTGCAAGAGAACTGAGACTAACAAGAAACAGCCAAACCAAACAGCCACAGCTAGAAAGAAGGTGAATGTCCTGAAGTGGGTGGATACTTAATCATTTATTTTATGTTTTATATTTTTTAATTAATTGACGTCACTTTGTAGAAATCTATTGGACATGAAAAAGTCTTTGTAAATTCTTGTAAAAAAAGCCAAACTATATTGACCATGATTTAAACCTCCAAGGGTGGCCAACACTTTTTACAGGCACCATATTTCTGCTAAAGGTCACAATACCGGCTTTTGAAGTCAAGTGTGAACCTACTTTCTCCATAAAATGATGACAAAAGTATTCATATTTCTGTTAATTTTCCTTGTAGT